GCCCCCCCCGCCCCCCCCCCTCCCGCCCCGGAGTGCCCTAGCTATTCTGGGACAAGTCTGGCACTTCAGAATTAGAAGGAAATAATTTTCTAAGTTTCTTAGATATTAAAGCTAAAGTACTTGAAGGGAGGGGGGAGACAAGACTTACAAAAATAGAGTGAGGACATCCCCCAAACTTCCCACATTATCTATGATAATATGAAATGTCAAAAATAATGAACAGACTTTCTGAGCATTACGATCTCTACCCGTATATACCTAATCTGCAGCAGCCTCAGTACTGCCCCTTTTACCTCTTAAAACTTTATTCTGTGGAACCACCAGATAATAAATCTATTTCACCCCACTGACCCCCACCTTCCCAAACACATCTACTTGCAATTCCAAAGAGACTTTCCAAAAAAATAGGCATTTGATAAAAGTACATCTGTTTACAATCTATCTGCATATTACTTCTTGAGATTATTACTTTTTTGTTTTTAAAAAAGATTGCATATTGGCAATATAATGAGAAAAACATGGTGGCCATTTCTGGGTAGTGGTGGGAGGTGAGTGGGGTGAGTCTTGAAGCACAGAAGTGAGAGGGCATACAGATGGGCAAGTATGGTCCTTAGCCTTGAGACATGAAGATTGAGGTGGAGTTAATCTGTTTCTCAATCCTTGGGCCTCTGAAATGTCCCATCTCTTTAGTCCCTCCCTCTTCTTTTCTCCACCTTCCCCCATTTTTATTACCCATGCCACCGCTGCACAACCCTCTTGAAGCGGAGGTGGAATGGCTTTTTGGCATGTGTCCAGCTGGGCCGGTTTGAAGATAAATATGGCATTTGGGAAGGTGTGATGTAGGACACACACCAGAGCAAGCTTATTTGTGACTGTTTCCACTCTGGGAAAAATTGTCCATCACTTCTGTGATTTTAAAAATTTAAGCAGTTACTAGGCTGATAGTTAAGAAACAAATCTTTTGTTCTTGTGGTTTTGCATTAATATTAAGCATGAATATATATTATATATTACATTGCTTTCCTTCTGCTCTGGGGCAGGCTGCATTCTCCTTCCAAACAGGAAAACTGCACAGCCTGTGGATTCAAATTTTTGAAAGCTGTTATTTTCCTCTACCCACCCCCACCTTTATCCCATCCCTTTCTCCTGGCTTCCAGTTCCTATATTAGAAAATCCCTTCCCACCCTCCACCCCACCATCCCACCCAAGGTTAAATAGATAGTGCCACATTCTAAAACTCATGCATCACTGCATTTCGCTATTGCACATATTGCAGAGAGAGAGAGTTGTGTGTGTGTGTGCCTCTTCTTCTGTTCCCCGTTTCTTTCTCAGGCTCTCAGATTCCTGTGCTATTCCCACTCTGCCCTCTCCCAGCCTCCCCTGACATCCCAGACCCGTCACTGATTGTGGACATCCTCTCTACGGACAATCTTGTAGATGATCCAGTAGAACATGTTGAAGATGAGGAAGGCCATGGGGAAGCCAATGCGAGATATTTTGTCGATCTTCTTGGCCCTCTGGATGAAGAGTTTTCGCATTTCCTCTGGGGACTTAGATGGCGCAGGAGGCGGATTGGTGGTGTTGTTGTTGTTGGCACCCTTTACTGAGATGCCATCCTTGGCCTGCAGACAGGCGGGGCCCATGGCATAGGCAGAGAAGTTGAAGCGGCCCTCTCCGGCCTCGTCCTCCTGGAATAGATTCAACATGGGGCTCTACTTAAAATAAGACAGGAGTTGGGCACCCTCCCTGCAAGGCACTCCCCTTGGGCCCAGGCCATGCCCATCTGATTCTCCCTGACTCCCAGATTGCACCATTCCAAGTTTCTGAGGCTTTCTGGCTGGCTGGGGAGTTCTGCCTTATAGAGGGGCGCCACTTGCTGCCGAAACAGATGCAAACCAGGGGATAGAAACATGGCTTAGAGTCTGGAGACCTGTGCTCAAGTCTCAGCTCTGTCACTTGCTGGCTGTATGACGGTAGGCAAGTCACTTCCTTTTGTGAGTCTCAAGAGTTTTTAATTTCATCTTTCTCCCCTATAGATGGGCAGTAAGATTCACCCCACTACATCATAGGGTTATTTGGATTATCAGAAGTTACAATTGAGTAGATAATCAATGTTGTATTTAATTTTGGTTAAAAATTAAAGCAGATAATTTGGAGAGATCCCCTGCTTTGCCTCTGTTGCCTCTTTGCCCTCTTCCCCACCCCCTTCCCCAGTTAAGGACTCCCCGTGCATGGGCAGGAGGGATGGCAGACTGGCCCAGAGGGGAGCAGGAACTCTGAACCTCATCCCTGTTTCACAAGCCAGGGAAATCACAGCTTCTTCCTGTCCCCAGAGCCCTGGTAGTTGCAACCTCAAACAGACCTCTAGATTTTGATAAAGTTTCTTTCAAGGTCCTTCATCATTTGGCTCCAACTTACCTTTCCAGGCTTTCTCCCCTTCCCCAGTCGTGCTTTGCATCCCTGCCAACTTAGCTGTGCTTTTCCCCCAGTACCCAGTGCCTGCTTCCCTTATCCCTATAGCTTATCCCTTCCCCATGTCATGGTGATCTTGCCCTGGTCTGAATCACGGAGGCACCATTGTCTGCGCAAAGCATGCCCGACTTTATTGTCTTTCTGTGTGAGCTCTAAAGTGGCATTGAGAATCCAGTGTTTTGGTCTCAACCGAGCTGTTGATATGTGTGGCTGTGGGAAGTTTTATCAGCTCATACTGTCCTCCTTGACAGTGGGTGTTTAGGCTAGGAACCCTATGTTTTGCTTTTTCATGTGTAGGACAGGGCCGAGGAGAACAAACTCAGTGTAGAATCCACGAGTTCCTCTCCACCCTAGGGTGGGCCACTGGACTAGTAACAACCTAGTTACGTAATCCAGTCTCCCTACTATCTCTACTCTGTCCCCTCCCCCAACCCACTGGATTATTGCAACACAGACCTTATTGAGTATCTTTTCCTTAGAGCCTCTTAATAGGCTGCCATTTACCTCAGGATAATCAGTTAAAATCTTTAACGTTGTAGTGAACAAGACCTTAGGTGACCTGGACTCTGTCTACCTCTCCTGCCTCATCTTACACTATTTTGTATCTGGTGTTCTAAGCTCCAGGCATCCTGAGCTATTTCTGTGTTTGAAAGTGTCATGCTCCTTTACCCACTACCTCTGTTCAAGTTCTCTGCCTGGGTCACACTGCAACCCCACCCCCTGCCTCCAGCCTCTTCCCTGTCACTTAATTCTTGCTCTGAAGACTTTCTCTGAGCTTCCAAGAATAGCCTAGCTGTCCCTGCTATGTGCTGCATCAGATACTTATAGTCCCTCTTTTTATTTGGTAAGTTCTTATCACATCATATTGCCATTCCTTGGTTGATGGCTGTCCCTCTCATTGGACTATAAGCTCCATGAAGGTAGAGGAAAAATCTGTCAGGTTCACGGCACCCTCAACACTGAACGTGTGAACATAGTTCCTGGCATATAAGCTTAGGACCCAGTAAATATTTCTTGAATAAATTGATATTTACTTGTATATCTCCAGTCATAGTGTTTCTTTCATGGGGTTGTATTCCTAGCACCATCAGGATATGAGACATAAGATCATATGGTAAATGTTCATGAAGCCTTTGGCAAGTAAATGTGTCTGACCTACCACTCTCATTGCAGATGTGAGGGAAGAGGGTATGCTACCTAATGTGCCTGGCAAATAGGTGCTCAGTAAGTATTACCGTGTACGCAGGGCACCAAAACGGGTTATACCAGGGCCAAGGAGAGGAACTGGGAGAAGTCAGCCAAACTCCTGGACCTAGAAGCCTGGGAGAGCCTAGGTCCTACTTTATTGTATTGGAATATAAATCAGCCTTTCCTGGGGGTTGTTTTGCTTGAAAAGAATTTTTTACTGGGTACTAGTTATGCAGGCGGAAGCATCAAATTAACTTTTTTTATTTTTATTTTTAGCTGTACTCACAGAAGATGGGAGACAGAGGGTAGAAAAAGCACCCATCAATGGGGTGTGGTCATGCTGCAATCTCTTCGACTCTAGTCTCCATCCTGTTGGGACTTGGGGCATGCATGAGCACACACATTGTGTTTTTCAAGTCTCTGGGGCTGGGACTCATGAAGCATTGGTCCTGTGGTATCTGGCTTCCCTTAAAAACTAGGCTATGAGGCTAGCCCCTAAATTAACTTCCTGTGCAGCTTTGAGTGAATTATTTTTTGCCTTTCTCATCTGTTAAACATGGGAGTGAAGGAGTAAAGGTGTAGACTAAAGGCTTGCTTATGTGGAAGATTATCAATTTCATGTTGTATCTGAGAAAAAGGAGATTCCCCCCAGCAATGACTGGGAAAGACTTGCTTTTCCTACTGCAGCCAGCAGGTGGCAGGAAATGCATGCTAACTACATCTGGAGCTACTAGGGGACTGAGCAAGGGAAATCTGGTAATGTTCTGTGGAACCTAGGGAGGTTTCTGGTGTGCTTGCTGAGTCTGGGGCTCACAGTGGTTTCCTAATGATGTGCCTAATGAGGCTGGCCAGGGAACTTGAGAACCAGATGCTTTCTGCCCAACAAATGAGGTAACATGGGAAGATGGTGGGAGTTGAGGAACCTGGCCAAGATCACAGTCTCGGAAAAAGTCAGGCATGTAGCTAGCACCTCTCCCTCGCCATCTGGGGCTTATAATCCCCTGTGCAATCGTCCTGCTAAGGGAGCTTTCTGAAGCTTATGCTTGTATACTTCCAGCTCACAGGCCTCAGCTAGAGTGGCTTATTCCAAAGGAAGCTCTTCATGGTGAGCCCAGTTCTGTATCCTCACAGTTTCTGACATTCAGGTAAAGTTCTGAGCCCTTATAAATGAGGTTACATTAATTTAAATGTACACAAGGGCATAGGTAGGAGAAACGTGAGTGATGAAGTGAACTGGGGCTGAAAAAAAAATCTTTAGTTAGAAGGGACCGTGGTAAACTGAAGAATACATTTTCTACCTAAACACAGTTCTAGCACATCCACAGCATGTAGGAGTATGCAACCAGTGTGGCCTCATGTTATGTTTTTTCTAATGAAACCAGAACTATGGTGTTTTTTAATTTTAGTTTTGCTGTAGGACTCATGTGCTTGACAGAGACAGAGAGAAAAAGAGAGGGAAAGTAAAAAATCACCTTCCCTGGGGGTCAGGGGGATAGCCACACCACAATCCCTTCTCCATTTTCCCTCAAGATTTTGGACACACACACACACACACACACACACACATACACACACATACACACACACACTGACGTGATTTTCAGGCTGTTTGGTCTGGGACTTGAACTGCATACTTGACCATATGGGATCCAGCTACCTTAACCACCGCACCACTAGCCTTCCCCTAAACATGGTTTTTAAATGTGGCATCTTATTCCAGATTTTAAAAATATACTGCTGGCCAAATTGAAGATACTTGTATGTCAGATTTGGCCCTATGGCTACTAGTTTTTGACCTTCCCCTTGAAATAAGTTTTATTTCTTATTTAAAATTTGAAAGATGCAAGACTATTTTTTATCTGTGTCAGGATGGAAACATTGATTAACATATAAGAGCTCATATGAGTAGTGTTTTGTGAAGAACCCGAGGTCCTTGAGTGCCTCCCTGCCTTCACCGTCGATGACTGATGATCCTGGAGACTGGTTTTGCCTCTACCTTGTCATCATCAGTCTCCTTCATCAGTTACCTGGGAGGAGTAGATGGGATGATTCCATCTCTTCCAGGAGGGAACTGAGCAGGAGAATCTGATTGGATCTGGATAGTGGCTTTATTCACATTTTACATGGCCACAGAGCTTTTGTCTTCTAGTTTGTGAGTTGGTAGGTATTTTGTGGGGATGGAGGCTGCCTTTTGAAGTACTGTACTACTGTAGGCCCACTATAGTAAGGTCTGTATTCACATTTCAGTCGATGCAAATAGCACCTGCTGGGTGGCACAAGTACAAGGCCTGGGACTGGTCAAATATTTTGGACAAAGTCTTCCCAAAGTAGTGTTCCCAACAAATATCTTTAACAGTGGAAAATGCTAAAAGCAGCTAGTCTATAGGAAAAAAAAAAAAAAAAAAAAGGAAAATCCCAGAGGGCGTTATATATATTTCTTATTTAGAATGTTTTGTTTTTAAGAGTCAGAGGTATCCAGTAGACAGTATAGAAGGTTGAAAACTAGGGATCCTTTAACATATCCTGTCTGGGGGCCAGCAGTTGGTGTGGTGGTTAAGGCACAGGACTCCCACATGACTGCTGCGGTTCAAGTCTTGAACCTGGTGGCTTGAGGACCAGGCTGAGTGCATGTGCATGCATGCCCAAAATCCTGGGAGCAGAAGGGATTGCAGCATGGCCATCCCCACTGGGAGGTGATTTTTCACTTTCCCTCTCACTGTCTGTCTGTCTCTGGTGAGCACATATGACCTACTGCAAAAACCTCAAAAAAAAAAAAAAAGATATTCTGTCTGTCTTGCTACACTGAAGACAGTTTCCTTTTCCAGTGCAGATTTAGAAAGATGGTGATATCTTAACACTATGGACACCTCCTGTCTTGGAATATAGGCTTCATCCCTATGCTAAATTGCTGAAAGTTAATGGAATGAAATCGCTGATTTTTAAGAAATGTATTGGTAAAAATCTGTGTATAAGTAATCATCTTTATCCTTAGCACTTGGGCAGCAGAGTAAAACTTAAAGCCGCTTTGGCACCCTTTGATTTAATAATCCCCTATTAATGCTCATTTAGTCCATTTTATAGATGGAGATATTAGTCCCAGGTAGAGTTGAGTTCAAAATGAGTTGACATCCCAAAGAAAACTAACGAAGCAGAGTTCTCTGTTGCAGTACATTGTCGAGCTAAAGTTGTAGCACCTTGGTATGTCAAGGTGTGTGACGTGACTAACAGGTCATGATGTCTGGGTCCCTGGTTGCTCTAATCTATCACTAGAAAGACTTCAGGACAGGCTCTCTGACTAAAAAGCTCCTCTTTATTCAATTAGTTTGTTTATACCTTTGTTCAGTTGTTTACCAAATACCTGTTGCATGCTCACTATAGTCAGGCCTTGTGTTAGAGACCAGGGATATGGTACTGAGCAAAAGTACACATGGCCTCTGACCTTATGGAGCTTATAATTTAGTGGAAGAAATAAGCATTAAATAATCACATCATTGAATGTATGAATATACATCCAGATAAATATTCAGAAGGATAGAAATGGAATTTATAGAACAGAGCCTCTGCTACCCACACAGCACTTTAGTGAAGATTAGAAAAATAAACCTCCTTTCTGAGCATATGATGTGTAATCCCTAGTTCTGGGCTGATACAGTCCCAAGCCAGGGCATGACTTAGAGAAGACTGCCTCCTTGGCTAGGGCCCTTGTAAGATACAACTTACATAACCATTCTTGACAGCCTTGTATATAAACCTTTTATTAAGCTACGGGGAGGCGGGTAACATAGTGGATAAGGTGCTGGACTTCCACATGGCTGATCACAATAAAGTCCCAGATGCAATGGCTTGAAAATCATGCTGGGCATGCATGTATGTGTATGTCCAGAATACAAAGAGAATAATGGAGGAGAAGGGATTGTGGCATGGCCACCCACAGGGGGTGATTTCTCATTTTCCCTCTCTCTCTTTTACTATCCAGTGAGCATACATACCCTGTAGTAAAGACCTAAAAATAAATAAATAAATAACAAATAAAATGGAAGGAGCTAGACTTTTACTAGGATATCAGGGAGAGATGCTTCAGCTGAGAACTAGAAAACGGGTGGGTTAGTGATGAGCATAGTGGACTGGAAGGACAATTCAGGAAAACAGAAAAAGATATCCACAGTCCTGTAGGTATGTTTTAGGAACTAAGAAAAAAGTTCCTGTGATTGATGCTCAGAGAACGAAGGGGGGTAGTGATGCAAAGATGAAGCTGGACAGGAAAACAGGTTGCCTTTCTGATCCCTAGAAGAAGGTTCTTCTAGGGAAGTAGTTAAGGACTAGGGTGTGGAGCAGTTTGTCCAACTGGCTGCATCCTTACCAGTGTCATTTTTTTTTGGTTGTATCACAACCTCTAAGTTAACAGAGGTTGATGACTTTTCAGAGATGGCTTGCCTTATATTCATTTATTCAACCTCATCAGGATAGGAACCTATTTTGGAAGACAATATTGCTTGTTGCTCTTTTCCTGGAGGCAGGAAAGAAAGACCTAGAACCAGGACATTCTCAGTAAAGATCCCACCTTCTGTGGTGCATATCTCTTTTGGAACCAATCTCACAGAAATAAAGCAGCCTTGGGCCATCAGGTGATGTCGTTCAGGTGCTGCACTCCCACATGGCTGACTATGGTTTGAGTCCTGAACCCGGTGGCTTGCTTTCTCATTTTCTCTGTCTCTCTGTGTTGAGTGCACATGCCCTATAGCAAAAATTTAAAAATAATAGTAAAATTAAATAAGTAATTCTTTTTCTTTTTCTTTTCTTTTTTTTTTTTGAGAGGTTTTTGCTATAGGGCGAGTGTGCTTGCCAGAAAGACAGAGACAGAGAGACAGAAAATGAGAAATCACCCCCCGGGGGGATGGCCATATCACGATCCCTTCTCCTTCATTTTCCTCTTGGGATCTTGGACACGCACACAAACACATACACACACACACACCAAGCCTGAGTTTGAGCCGCTAGGTCTGGGACTCAAACCACGGTCGACTACATGGGAGTCCAGTGACATAGCCATTACGCCAACTGCTGGTCCCAGTAACTCTTTAAAAAATAAAAATTATATAGCCTTGCAGGAAAAGACTAATAGATGCCTCTGGGCTTATTGTTTTTTGGGTTTATAACTAGTTATCTTGACCCCATTAGCATTTGCTTCTTTAGTTCTGCCTTTCGGTGTAACCTGGTAATTGCTGTAGTGTTACTGTTATGGTCAGAAGAATGATTGCCTGTACACCCAACTAGGATATTATTTAATGGGAGAGAAAGCTAAGACTTATAGGACTTGAATTTTATTTTTCATCTGCTCTACCCCCTGAGAAGCATGGTCCAGTGAAACAAGAATCACAAGACAAGCCTGCTTATAGCACCTCCATTTACCACCTGCTGTCCTTCCTTATGCAGCGACCCAAAGGCCTACCTTGTGATGCCTCCGCTTCCTCCTGAATCGGAGCAGCTCTTTGTGTTGCCGGGACACAAAGTTGACAGCAGCATATTCTAGCAAGGCTGAGAACACAAAGAGCAGGCAAACTGCCATCCAAATGTCAATAGCCTTCACATAGGACACCTAAAGTGGGGGAGGAAAAAAACATAGGGAGGTGAGATGGGAGGTGAGTAAAACACTGAGCATGGTGGAATGCTTTCTGCCCTTCAGTAACTATCGTCACCAGGAACCAGCAGTTAGAGTCATGGCTATGTCACTGGACTCCCATGTAGTCAACCGCGGTTTGCGTCCCGGACCCGGTGGCTTAAAACTCATGCCGGGCGCGTGTGCGTGCATGCCCAAGATCCCGAGAGGAGAATGGAGGAGAAGGGATTGCGGAGTGACCATCCCCCCTGGGGGATGATTTCTCGCTTTCTGTCTCTATGTCTCTCTCTGTCTGGCGAGCGCACGCGCCCTATAGTGAAAAACCTCTCCAAAAAAAAAAAAAAAAAAGTAACTATTGTCACCTCAAACCTATTACCCACCGCTGTCTGCTTCTTAGATAGGATTTTAGGATGGAGGATATAGAGGAAAACAGAAGAGAAATACATCAAAGAGACTATGGAGAATAGTAGGGAAAATAAAATGTACCTGGAAGAATACTAAAGAGAGGAAGGTGGAATATTTAGCATTCTCATTTAATGGAACAAAATACTCTTCTATTTGAAGGCTGGTGGGAACAGAATATTGTATTGAATATCATAAGTGGCTGAATGAAATATGTCGGTGAAAATGGTAGTGCGAAGACCTCCAAAGTCTTTCCTCCATAAAATCAATGAAGATACTGGCAAAAATCATCAGTCACTTTTTTTCAGAATTTTCAAAGGCTTCCACAGTCTCATGAGTATTTATTCAAGCAGGCAAATCCACAACAATAAGCTCTATAGCATTATTTAAAAATTTTATTGAGATATAGTTTACATACCGTATAATTAGCTTTAAAAAGTTTTTTTTAAAGAGAGTTTTTGCTATAGGGCATGTACGCTTGCTGGAGAGACAGAGAGAGAGACAGAAAGTAAGAAATCACTTCCCAAGGGGAATAGCCACACCACAATCCCTTCTCCAATTCTCAGGATCTTAGGCATGCACAAACATGTGCCCAGCATGAGTTTTAAGCTGGGTCTGGGACTTGAACCAAAGTTGACTACATGGGGGAGTCCAGTGACGTAACCATTAACACCATTTGCTGGTTCTATAAGTTGTACATTTAAAGTGTACAATTCAGTGGGTTTTATAATATTCCCAGATATGTGCAATTATCAACAGAGTCAATTTTCATTACTTTAGAAGACTTTTTAGACTTTAAAAATTACTTTTTAGGCTTAAGCAATCACTATGCCTCTATAGATTTCCCTGTTCTGGACATTTCATAGAAATAGAATCATATACTATGTGGCCTTTTATGACTGGCTTCTTTTACTTAGCATAATATTTTCAAGGTTTATCCATATTAATAGCATGTATTAATATTTCATTCCTTTTTATGGCTGAGTACTATTCTATTTTATGGTTACATGATATTTTATTTATCCATTCATCAGTTGAAGGGTATTTAAGTTACTTCTATTTTTTGACAGTAATGCTCCTATGAATATCTGCATACCAATTTCTGTGTGGACATTTGTTTTCATTTCCTTGGAGCGTTGTGTGTTGTAATTTGTCCTATTTTTGTTCCAACCATCCCAGCTCCATAGTAGCCATAAAAACCACTAGGCCCCAAGAACAATGAGCTGTCTGGCAGTCATTCAATGGGTCAGACAGAGCAGGAGCTTCTTCAAAACCTCATTCTCAGAAGATTGGTGTCATTTGTCCTGTCTTGTGGTTCACCCATAAACCTCGTTCATGAAGCTGCTGCTGCTGCTGCTTTTTTTCTTAAATTGAGAGAGCGAGTGAACTATTTCGACAGGATCTCACAGTGCAATCTCCTACCCCAGCCGCCCAGTTAGCTAGGATTACAGTTACATGCTACTATGCCTGGCCTGTTTGGTTAGGTTGGGCTGTTCCTGTGACCCCGGCCTCATGCAGTAGCACACTCTTGTTTGTGCCACCATGGCTGGGCCAAGGGTTCCTTTACCTGAACTGATTGGGAGCTGGCCTAGGGTGAATATCCTTTTTATGGGGCACATTTGTGGCAAATAATCAGTGACCGAGGAACAAAAAATAGGTTAATAAAATCTTTGAAACAAAATCTAAGTAAGGAGATGTCCACAGGGGACTTTTAAAACAGAAATATTCTTGGGAATCTGTATTCATGCTTAGGGCTGTGTGCATGCCCATGAAAACCTTATGAGGCCCTAAGCTCTCACTTATAGATGACCTTGATACCTAGCAAAAAGGAAGTGATGTAAAGGCAAGTTGTAAAGTACCTGATTGAGTGTTGAAAGAATGTCTTAACACACACACACACACACACACACACACACACACACACGCACACACACACGCACACACACAGCCCCTTGGCAAAGGGTGGGATAGGTATAGGTTCCAAGCATTTAAGGAACTAATTTTTAGCTGAACACAAAGCTGAGAAGAGACTTAAGTTACCCTATACAACACAATACACAGACTCTATAGCTATAATAAGTCTATAAAAGTCACTGAACAGGGGCCAGCTGGTGGCATGGTGGTTAAGGGTGATGGACTCCCCCACATGGCTGACTGTGGTTCGAGTCCCAGACCTGGCAGCTTTCTTTCTCTCTCTCTCTGATTTTCTCTCTCTCTCTTTCTGTTTCTCTCTCTCTCTCTCTCTGTCCCTCACTAGTCATTAAAAGAAAGGAAAGAAGGAAGGAAGGAAGGAAGGAAGGAAGGAAGGAAGGAAGGAAGGCCGGCCCTACTGCATGCTTTGAGTCTCAGTCCTGGTGGCTTGAAAAACACATTGGGAATGCAGGTGTGCACACCCAAAATCCTAACAGGAATATGGAGGAGGAGGGATTGTGGTGTGGTTATCACTCCTGGGGTGCTTTATCACTTTCCCTCTTTTTCTTTCAGTCTGGTGAGCACACATGCCATATAGCAAATTTTAAGAGGGAATAGGAAAGTATGGCTTATACATAGAGAAAAAAAGCTATCAAAAGACACTATTCCTGAGATAGATGTTGCACCTAATAGACAAAGATTTTAAATCAATTATTTTATGTATGTTCAAGGAACTAAAGTAAACCATGTCTACACAGCCAAAGGAAAATATGAGAACAATGACTCACTAAATAGAGTACACTAATAAGCCAAAATTATAAAAAAGAACTATATAGAACTTTGGGAGTTGAAAAGTAAAATAACTGAAATAAAAATTTTCTTAGATCAGCAACAGATTTGAACAAATAGAAGAAAGAATCAGGAAAATTGAAAACCAGAAACTTTGAGATTATACAGTCTAAGGAACTGAAAACGGAAAAAGAAACAAAACCTCAGAGACCTGTGGTTAACTATCAGATATACTAACTTATGTTTAATTGGAGTCCCCAAAGGAGATTAAAAACACACACACATTTGATGAAAATCTGCACAAGTCCAATGAACTCCAAGTAGGATCTACTCAGAGAGATACATACTAATAAATATCACTATCAAAGTATTAGAAGACAAAAAGACGAAGAATTTTGAAAGCAGGAGAGAAGTGACTCATTGTGTTCAAAGGATCCTTGATAAGATTAACAGCTATATTCTCTTTAGAAACTTGGGACCAGATGGCATAATGGTTACATCGTTGGATTCCCATGTAGTTGACCACAGTTTGAGTCCCAGACCCAGTGGCTTAAACTCACACTGGGTGTGCGTGCGTACGTGGCCAAGATCCTGAGAGGAGACTGGAGGAGAAGGGATTGCGGCATGGCCATCCCCCCTGGGGGATGATTTCTCTCTTTCTCTCTGTTTTTCTGGCAGGCACATGTGCCCTATAGCAAAAACCTCTCCAAAAAAAAGAAAAAAAAAGAGAGAGAAACTATGGGATATAGCAGGCAGTGGGATAACATTTTTGAAGTGCTGAAAGAAAAAGGTTGTCAACTTTTGCCAGGAATTCTATCTACAGTGAAACTATTTTCAGAAATGAAGAAGAAATGAAGACGTTTCCAAATAAACAAAACCCAAGATTCTCCACTAGAAAACTTCAGGCTGAGGGACCAGCAGATGACATAATTTTTACGTTGTTGGACTCGCATGTAGTCGACTACAGTTTGAATCCTGAACCCAGAGGCTTGAAACTTGTGCCGGGCACATGTGCATGCATGCCCCAGATCTCAAGAGGAGAATGGAGAAGGAATTGTGGTGTGGCCATCTCCCTGGGGGGTGATTTCTTGCTTTCTTTCTCTCTGGCTTGCACATGCACTCTATAGTAAAAATCTCTCTCTCAAAAAAAAAAAAAAAACCTTCAGGATTAAATAAAACAATATTGGAAAATAGTTTAAGTCCATGTCCATGTGAAGAAATAAAGAGTATCCAGGAAGGTAACTGGAAAGGTACTATGAAAGGAGACAAAGAAGGTTATTATTTAATGATTTTTTTTTTTTTGAGAGGTTTTTGCTATAGGGCACATGCGCTTGCCAGAAAGACAGAGAGAGACAGAGAGACAGAAAGCAAGAAATCACCCCCCCCCCCAGTGGGGATGGCCACGCTGCAATCCCTTCTCTTCCATTCTCCTCTCTGGATCTTGGGTACACACACACATGCCCGAAGTGAGTTTAAGCCACCAGGTCTGGGACTCGACTACATAGGAGTCCAGCGCGACATAGCTATTATGCTAACTGCTGGTCCCATTATTTAATGATAAACAAGTCAGTTTGGCTAGAGGATTGTAACAGTAATAAATATATATGTACCCAACCCTGGAGTACCTAAATGAATAAAGCAATTATTATTAGACTAAAGGTAGAGAAAGATGTTAAAATAATAGTTGGAGACTTCAATGCCCAGTTGGTAGTGCTGGTTAGATAATCTAGGCGGATAATCATCAAAGAAACATTGGGATTAAAGTGCACTAGAGATCAAATGGACCTAACAAACATTTGCAGGATTTTGCATTCACAGCTCCTGGTTACACATTTTTCTCATCTGCCTGTGGAACATTTTCTAGGAGAGACCATAGT